TCTGATGTTGGGGGGAGAGGAACTTACCGGGGCAAATCCCGTCCAGAATTGAGCCACCAGCACCAGGCAATTGAACCCAAAGCCGATCCATGACCCAATTACGCCTGCCTGAGACTTGTACGGCAGTTCGTCTAGGGTATGACCATGGTACTTCCAGGCCTGGCGGAATCGAATGTGGCACAGACAAATGGATCCCCAGGTAAAGATGCTTGCCAGACCGCTGACAGCAAACATCCAGTTCCATGCTTCTTGTCGCTGCGACGGTTTCAACGCAACAAGGTAGCAAAGAGCTCCGAGTGCTGACGAGAAGAGAATGGCCACGAGCGGTCTGCCCGTTCGGTCGATATAGCCAAGGATCTTCGGCGCCTGGCCATTGTCGGCAAGGGCGGCCAGGGTGCGTGATGCGCCATATACAGATGCGTTGCCGACACTCAGCACCGCAATGAGGATGACAGCGTTGAAGACCGAGGGCAAGCCTCCGACACCCGCATTCTGACTTCCTTGTCAGCATCCATAATGTCCAGCGACGCCATCGCCCGCTGGGGAATAACTTACTTTGATGGCCAGCACGAATGGCGATGTCCAGTAATTGGCGCTGCTGCCACTGTTGAGAAGACGTGGGTCGTCCCACCGGACCAAGCACCCGACGAATGTCAGGGAAATGATATAAAACTGGTGCGGCAATCGTTAGCCAGGGTTGCAAAACCGCATCGGCATGCTCTGGATCAACTGACCAGAACAACTCGCCAGAACACTTGCTTGATGGCTGTAGGGAGCGCCAGACGTGGGTTTTCTGCCTCGGCTGCCGCCAAACCCACCAATTCAGTGCCACCAAACGAGAACGCGGCTGTCACGAAAACTGAACAAACTCCTTTGAAGCCATATGCAAAGGCGCCTGGATCGTCCCATGTTTTGGCTCCAAAATAATGGCCGGTGGGACCCCCGCCGACGTCGACGACCAAGGCAAATATTCTGGCATCCGAAGTCAGCTTTGGCCCGTCAAAACAGGATTGACAGGCTCGACTCACATAAATCCGAGCGTTGCCACAACTTTGACAATTGAGAAAACGAACTCCGCCTCTCCGTATCCCCTCACACCAAACAGATTTATTGAGACGATCACCACATAGAAGATGGTAACCCAGACACATGGATTGACGTCTCGTGCACCCTGCCAGTAGTTCAAAGTGATGCTAGCGGCCATGATCTCGATCGGGAGAGTGACGAGCCACTGCATGGCATAGTTCCATCCCCTGACATGGCGTTAGTACAGCGAAAATGGGCTTCGGGTTGTGGGGTGGTACAGACATTGCAAAACCCCACGCCGGATCAAGGAATCTGGATGAGTATGCTGAATAGGAGCCGGCAACGGGAAATCTGTCGTTCTCCCAATCTCTGCATCAGCACATTGACCCGACCAGGAGGCAAAAGACCAGAGCGCATCGCAGTGTAGGTCGTCTTTATGGTAACCCAGCGCCGTGCTCCCCGTCAAGCCTGATCACTTACAAGACAGCCATCTCTCCCAAGGCATGGACAGTACAAAAGATCATGATCCCAAGTGTGCAATATGCTATGACAAGCGCCGCCGGACCGCCCGTCGCAAGAGCCGAGCCCGAACCGACGAACAAACCGGTTCCTATTGAACCGCCAATGGCAATCATCTGTAAGTGTCGCTGTTTGAGTTTCATGGCCAATGCCGGCTGTGCTGGTGGCTGGTTGGGCAGCGGCTTTCCATTATCATCGACCAGCAACTCAGAAACGCGGGCGCTATTGAATACAACGTGTCCCGTCAGTATCCTGTTTGCTTGCGATATCGTATGGAGCCGGAGACATACTTGGGATTTTCGCGAAATCCATCGATGATACGGGCGAAGAAAGACGTCTTCTCCTGGGTGGAGACGATGTGACCAAATTCCTGGCCAGGAGCCACGACCCCGGGGTTAGACCCCTGCTTCTTCTCGACGTCAATGTCCATCTTGATAATTCCCGTATCTTTAAGCTGTTGCCAAGGGTCTGGAAAGAGGGAGGTGCACGAATATGACGACCAAGAACTGCAGCTAGCAGGACGTCAAGTGAGTCGAGAAGCAGCGTCGATTACAAGACGTTCAAAGGATAAGAAGACGACGAAAGAGAATTGTGGAAATCCCAGTCATTTTCACCACAGAGCATGGAGCGTGATTTGAGACCCTCCATTTCGACAATGCAACGAAAGGGGCAAGGATTGTATCGATCGAATCCGCCTCCACAGCCCGGCTGTAACGCGGGATGGCATCTGAACCTTCGTGAGGCACGTCTCTCGGGGCACCTAGCCCTGGACTCGGGCGTTATTCTGGATCGGGACTATGTGGCATTGACAATTCGAAGTCAGAACAAGGTTGGGGCCGGTTCCTCAGTGTGCGGATGCCCCGGAAGCAGATGGCAGAGATAAGGTATTTGAGAAGAACGGGGTCTTGGTTTGTGAGCTGTGGTTGTCAGATGGCATAGTTTGCGATAAGATTCGCTGAGTGAGTGATTCGTGCTATACAGGTGGATGAGTGATACACCCCGTATGGAGACATTTGGAGCCTTTTTTCCTCTGCACAACAAGTAGGGCACCCAAAAAAAAAAAAACGCTCGCGTGATGATATGTCCGAATGGCAAGAGCCTCGTCGATAGAAGACCCATTGCAAACGAATCCAAGGCAAGGTTAATCTCCTTTCTTAACCCGATTCAGGTCTGGGGGATAGCCAATATCAGACTGGCCATGGCCGATTGGTGCGTTTTGTTCGGCGATGGCAACGAGTTCATGCATGATGATTGCACAGCGGCAACGGCAGCGGGTCATGCCATCCGAGGAAACAAGACCGTGGCCTGAACTCGGAAGCTCACATTGCGTTGTTTTGCGTCTCGTGCTGTTGGTTCTGGCCGCTGACAAGGGGAGCTCCGATGGTCTGGGCTTCCTAGAAAGGAGGAACAGTTCGAGGTAAAGAATATGTGAAGGTGGCGGCGTCGTTTTCTTTTGGATGACATCAGAGGCTCCCCCATGCCATGCGCCCGAGGCTGCAAGGCTGCAAGGCTTCGACCCAAGGCTTTCCTTCGATCTGTACATCTATCTCCGCGGCAAAGGCCAGAGAACCATCCAGTAGTCAATATCCATGTCTTATCAACCAAGTCTTCCATTGCCGAATCGCCTATACAGAAATGACAACGCACACATGCGCACAATGGCAAGTCCAATCTTTCCCGGCTGAACTATTATGGTTCCGGCCTTTTCTTTCTCAACCTTCCGGGTAATGCAGATCCCGGGTCATATTCTTCTTTCGCCACTTCTAGAAAGACTCCATTCTGTCTGACATGCATATCAGGCTTTGGACACGGTAATAGCTGCCTCTTACAGAGGATACAGGTAGCAAGGCTGACCATTGGGTTCCTATCAATCCCAACTTCTCCCGCTTGCCGCGACATTATCTGGACCGATCTTTGGAGACTGCTAGGAGCACCACCCTACAGTGAGTTCACCATTTTTGAGCATTGTCTCCATATGCCATAATCAGGAAATCTCGACAATTACCCCTCAAGGCTTACGTGGCTATCCTTGGGAAGCATCATCTATCATCTTTCCTATTTCTCTCTTTGGCTAGAGGGGGTAGTAGACTCCTTGGAAAGCAGAATGCACCCCTCCAGGTCCCCAGCTAACGAGGTAACTGTGGCCCAACATCCCCCACGCTGGTTGCTCAGGTTCCGACGGTCTCCGCTGCGGATTGTTCCATGTCGTCTGCTACTCTAAAGCGTCTGATCCAGCCGCCAAGGGGTTGATTACCATCGAGAGGGCATGCTTACAAGCAACTACATTCATCCGAGCAACTTCCCACCTCGAGATGCGATTGTTGTTATTGCTTTTTTGTTGCTTCTAGGCGATGTCCCGCTTATGAGACAGCTTAGGCTTCTTCGGTGTGAGGTGAGCCAGCACCCTGCTGATAGTCTTAGATAGGTACATTTGCGAACGGTGGCACGATGGGTTGGCTGTGTCCATTCACCACCACACCCCTACAGCAACATGTGGGATGCCTGTGTGGTCGCATTCTCACTGAAGCTCCTGTGTGGAGTACGATCTACGATGTGTTGGCTCATACTCAGCAGTTCGTTTCTGGATCTGAATGTGCGGAGGTGGAAAGCCTGCTCCTGTTGGTACAACTACGCGTCTCACACGTTATCCTTTCTGAGTCCAGCCACTATCTCCCCTTAAGTCCACAGCTGTCGTTCCATCCATTCTGTCCGAGGATTAAAGCAAGATCCTGTGATGCCTTTGCTTGTCCAAAAGGAATGTGCAGAACGCGAAAAGATGTAACTGGGTAGGAGTCAAACGTCGTATTACCAGGAAGAATGCCCAGAGATGTACCGAGTACTCATGAGCATATGACTATTGTTTTACTATACGGAGACTATGGTGCAAGGGAGAAGGAAACTGCCCAGTCGTGCAGAACAATCAAGTCGATCTGGATCCCAGACCACAAGAGGACCCCATTCGGCCAGAGCCGTAAAGCTTCCCAGCGACCAGCTGAGCAACATACGCAGGAGGATATGGAAGAGATGTCACTGTAGAGTGACATAAACAATCTTAGAATAGAAACTTTTCCGAGCCTTGAGTGGTGCGGCCTTGGCAAGTCTGCCGGCCCCATTTCGATTTTCTTTCTCTTATACCCGTAAACTTTGCGTATCTCAACATTGCTTGTGATGAAGTATTATGCATTCTGCCTAGTCATGTGGTCTTTCCACAAAGAACCTTTCAGTCCTCAACATGTCCAATAGACTCTCTCTAATTGCTGGAGATGCCCTTTCCCACGGTGCACAAACAAAGATTGTCAGTGCAGAGGGATGCCTGATACACAACCACTGTTCCTGTCTTTCCACAATCTCTGGAGAAAGAGAGCGGAAGGGGCAGCCTTTTCAGCGATAGTCGTGATCCAGCGTAACATGGTGAAGACCCGAGTCCATCATCTAACCTTCAGCTTCAACGCAGTTCACCCCTCCAATTCGCTGTCGACGATATCCCAAAGCTCGTTTCGATGGCGTCGCAGGAAATCGCCGTTGCCGGTCAACTTGTTTAGCTGCAAAACCCAGCGTAACAACACAGCCCGCCAGCTTTGGAACTCGATGTACAAGTCTCCCAGCGCCTGCTCTTCCTCATCGCTAATTGTCTCTGCCCTCTTCTTTTGGACCAGACCTGCCGCCTCTTTGGCAATGCTTAGACGCTTCAGGGCAACCTCTGATACGTTGATTTCAAGGCCTAAAATATTGACCCAGCGCTGCTGCTCATCGGATGCACCACAGACTTCTTGGACGAACTTGCGAACTTGAGCTTTGTTATACTTTCCACTGTATTCGAGATCCACCTGGATGACATCAATTGCTCTCTTCCTGACAACGTTAAAGTGATCGTGGCAGACTTCTTGCAATCCGCGCAGCACCTCGATGTTCCTGCGAATGATGAACTGGATTATTTCATTTGCATCGGGGTTGGCTTGAAGCTTAAACAGCGCCTCGGCCAGCTTTTCAGCATCCTGTCCGGCTCTGCGGATGTAGAGATGATAATCTGAGTGCTTCACTTAGCGCTATGGGCACAGGTTGTGGAACATTTTCACATCGCTGTTGGGGGCTTCACTTACCACATCCGTTCAAGGGTTCCAAGAGTCCATGACTTGCTTCTTGTGCTGCTGTGCTCAGGGCTTGACCCCATGGCTTCCTGGCCAGCGCGAAGTCCTGTTGGTCCATCTCTGTGGGGGTTTGGCAAAGGCATCCATGAACGAAGAAAGTGAACTCACCTCTGATAAGAGGATCGAAAGTGTGGCATTCCCAGACGATGTTGCCTCCGTGACACTCTCGCCTACATTTGAGAGTCTCCATCCCTTTGTCAATTTGGCTCTCGTCAAGTTCAGAATGGGTCTGATTGTTACATGCAGAATCTATCACCCCTTTGTTGACGAGTTGAGAATTATTTCCAGCATTGTGTTGACACAAAGGATATTCTCCACTGGAGAGGCAGTTCAGTGCCAAGTGTGACGAGGCTGTTGACCGCGGGCGGTCCGGCAGTACTGGTTACGGACTGTCACTGCCTCGACACGTTGGTCCGCTTCGCCTCACACCATCCCACACTTGACTTATCTTTTATTTCACGTCATCAACCACACCCCTATTCCTACGGCTGTCCCTGCGTTATCATCTCCATCACCATGTCAGACTTCTTTCCAGACGCCGGCGCCGGCTTCGAACGCCTTACAGGTTACGTGAATTACAACCGTTGGGTCCATGATTTCCGAACAATTGCTGAATACAAAATGGTCTGGGAACTCATCAGTCAGGGGAGGGCTAATAATGGACTGGAACACGCCGGCTCTGCCAAACCTATGTTTGCCCTAGGACTTCTGAAATACTGGGTCGACCCTGCAATAAGAGAATGCCTTGACAAATTCAATGACGCTCACGAAGCTTGGAAATACCTCGAGCAGCGGTACAAGATGGACGACGGACTTGTGATCAAATTGGCGACGAAGAGCATTCAGAAGTTGCGGCTGAAGAGATCCCACACCGTAACAGAATATGTGAAGCAGCTCGAACTTTTGAGACATCGGATCGTGAGTGCGGGTGGGAGATTCTCGGATGCTGAAATGATCGAAAAAGTCGCCGCGGACCTCACTCCTGTCGACTACTGGGTGTTCCTCAGCCGCCCAGATATCGCACGCATTCTTACCACAGCCAGGTCAACAAACAAAACTCCTGTTTCTAATCCCCCTGACGGAGAGGCCTTGATGTCGGATCTTCTCAGGGAGTTCACTTGGGAGCTAGTTATCTTTGAGCTAGAACACAAGGGAGCAGATGGGAAAGTTACAGTTGAGACAGGAAAGGTTCCTGAGCACAAGGCGAAAAGGGAAGAGACCAAGGACGCAAAAGAAGACCGGGAGATGATGGATTAAGCTAGGTGTCACCGCCCGTGTCGATATAGTGGTTCACTACATGTTATCACTAGGTGGGAAGGACGACGAGTCCCCAGGTTAACGGATAGGGCAACGCAAGACAATTGTGAGAATTTACAGGAAACGACAGGAACTGTTCCAACCTCTAAGACAGATATCAGTTTAAATTCACCTATCACAAGCATGAGACGTGGGTCTGACTGAAGGCGCACGAGGTCGGATCTCACCGTTGGCAGCCTTCCGCTTAGGACCCTGCAACCGGGTTCGACAATCCTGTGGTACATCATTTCCTCCGTCTTGCCGAAACATATCTTGAACTCGCCATGTCCACCACGTTCATTCAAAGTCCAATTTATCCGTTGGCCCGGGTTGTCCGCTCAATCACACTGCTCAAGTGGCATGGAATACGCTGTGAGATATCACCACGAATTGCCGATATCCAAGAGCAAGGAGATCGGGGAGAGAGAAGGGAAAAAAGAGGGGGGGGGAACACGCATACCGTTGGTCCTGCAGGTCGCGTTACAAGACGGCCACGGATCGTTGTCCCTGCCTCCGTCTTGCGGTGTCTGGGTCACATCTGTCAATAAGTCCATGAGCTTCTTGTTTCCTAGCCTTTGAATCCCAGCCCCGATGGTGTCCAGAGTGTCGTTGCTCGGCCCCGCAGGGCCCCGGCTGAAAATGTCCAGCGACGCCACCGTCTCCGACGTGGCGGGTGTCTCATGCACAACCACGAAGGCTGCGCCCAGGGAGTCATAGCCCCAGCTGATGACCTCGTATGTGTTGTTCTGCGAGGCGAGCGAGCCCGTGGGCACGCTGTGGTAGGCGCCCTCGGCGACAGCGGTGTCGAGTGAGTATCCGAAGTAAGTGGCGTTGGGTCTCTGCGTGTCGGTCACAAGCTGGAAGGACGCCAGGTCGCTGAGGGGCGTGGCGTCGAGCGAGTAGCAGATGTCGTCCGCACAAGGCCGCGTGAGGGTCCTGATGAAATTCAGAAAGACATTGTACAGCTCTTGGTTGGAATGGGTGATGAATCAGTTCCCCAGGAACCAGTTGGGCGGCATGGGGTCCCATGGTTTCGACAACGTCTCGTTGAATGTCGGCGGAGTTCGCAGTTGGGTTGGGTGCCATGGGACCTGGTATGCTTGGAGGAGGGGGAGCGAAAGTCTAAGCTCTTTCATGTCGGTCTTCGCTCTGGTCTTGTTCGCTGTCGGCTCATATCATTGCAGATCTGCCGCTGAAGGAACACGCCTTCTGGACAGCGGCGTGGAAGATTGAGGAGCACATATACGAGCGGACGTACCGGGTTGAGGCCCAATACCGGCACGTAGGGACCACTCGGGAAGCAAACGACGGCAAAACCTATCAAGACCGCTGCGGACGTCTTTGGGTTCATTGCGCGGCAGGTTTCTACGAGCCCGAAGTTAGGATCGACGGCATGAGACCATATTCTTCAATTTGTTGTGACGTACTTTGTATGGATATTCCTACTATTGATATTCCCACAGAATGCTCTGTAATCAAGATCTCTTATTGCCGTTGACTTATATAAACGTGCGTAGAAGCCACCCATACGAGGCACTCAAGCGCTTACTCGTGCTATTTGTTTTTGACAATAGGCCTACGTCCTATTAACCTTTAAAAAGAAAGGAAGGGGGGACAGTAACAGAAGCAACAACAACAACAAAAACAAGACGGCACCTACCTATGACAATAGTCGTGGACCTCGCATCCGCGGAGGTTCTGCTCTCGCAAGGAACTACGAGGGTGGCCGTCTCTTTCAGTGCATCCTCTTCTAGGACGCAGGCGTGCCTCACAAGGCGGCGGGCGGCGACGACGAGGGCCTAACGCTAACTATCCTTGTACTCCCATCCTTGTAGGGTTAGATCTCCCTACGTATGTGCTCGCTACGTATAGACGTGCAAAAAAGCCATGTGAGCGAGCGAGTGCCCAGTCATCCTACCCGGATACGATTGTGAGTAAACACAGACAGTAATGGCGCCATGCCACCCTCGAGTCCCGACCTCTGTCTGTCAGCCCGCGGCCCCCGCTCTCCCTTCCTCGACCCCGGATTGATCTTTCGTCTTCAGGCCTCCTTGCCCCGGTTCGCCCCCGGCTACATGGCGGACGGAGACGGGCGCGGGCCCCTACCTTGTAGCTTCCGTTGGTTGGCAGCTAAGTGCAAATACGAATATAACCTGAACTTGCCCTTCTGATGTAGTTCCAATCCTCAGCTAGAAAAAAGGAGGTCAGGATGAGAATTATTACCCTAGTGAGCAGTAAGTCCTCCGTACCAGGAAAAGGTATGGGGAGTGCGGGTACTAATAGTATACTGTGAACACCCATATCTCGTACCAGGTGCTATTTAGTAGGCGAACTAACTGCATGTGGAGTCCGCTATACCTAATCTACAGTAGCACCAACCTTCCACGACTAATGGAAAAAGGGGCTGGCTGTTAATAGCGAATGCCCCCAGCCTTAAATCTCAACATCGTTACCCGCGGGTGACAATGAATCGCTACAGAATCGGCCACAGCGCTTAGTATCTCGGCATGTCCTACGCGCAGGCTGAGCAAAGAGTGCATGAAAGCTATTTGGGCGCTCTCGCCGCCGGTACCGTGACGCCCGCGTCCTCGCTCGTCAGCTCCTTGAATTTCATTCTCCTTGTTGGCTGGTTGTTGGTGCGCCCCTCGATATCGGAGGGGTCCTTCCAATGGTGTCGCTGGCCGGTCTTTGTGTGCATTTCCTACATCTCGCTTTGGAACCTGCTGTATATGCGCTCTCCCGGCGTTATGGGCAGTATCGGCATAGGTTTGAACTCGGTCCTGTGTGTTGTTGTCACTGTCAACTTCATGCTCTTGCACGACCCCAGGTCGTTCAGAAGACTGGTACTGCGACCGGACGGAGGGACGTCAAGGGCAGATGGCCGTGCTGATCCGAGACCAAGTGGTAATATGAATAGTGGACGGCGCACCAAATACCTCCTTGCTTGGGAGCCCATGCCTGAAACCATATGGCAGAGATTATTTTGGATACTGGACCTCATCACCAGCATCCGCGGCGTCCACTGGTCCTGGAGTTCTGCGGCTTCACCTGCATGTGATCCTGATCTGGGCAAGTCGTGTTCGAACCGGACCGCTTCGATCGCCCGGAATGTCTCCCGCTTTCTTGTCGACTACTTCCTCATCGATCTCATAAAATGCGTCATGATCGCGGACCCGTACTTCGTCGGTTATCCCACGCACGGACCACCGCCCCATCTTTCGCGGTACATTACGTCTTCATTAGGGTTATACACTTACCGCTTGCTTCTCGGCACAGCAGGGATGTACACGGCGGTCGATCTGATATTCGCCTCTGCAGTCCTCCTGCAGGTCAACATTCTCGGCCCGGGGATGCTCGGACTCAATGCGTCACCTCTCGCATTCCCACCAATCTGGGGCAGTCCGTCCGCTGTTCTGCGCAAAGGTCTGCGAGGGTTTTGGGGCGAATCATGGCACCAATTCTTCAGAAAGCACTTTGTGAGCATTGGGGATGCTGTTGCCGAGTTTCTGCCAGGCCATAACGGTCTGGGTTCTTGTGGCTGCCGATGGTCAGACAACAAGCGACAAAAATGTCTGAAGCAGTCGGGAGTAAGAGAGACGATTCGAGTCGTGACCGTGTTCGTCCTCAGCGGGATATTGCACGCATGCGCAAGCCATACGCTGCTGGGACCTACAAGGCCCCTTGCCACTTTTCTCTTCTTTGCACTTCAGCCGGTTGGTATGGCCATCCAAAGCGCTGGCTCCCTACTTTTCGCCAGCTGTTATCTCTCAAGGCTGCCAGGCCCGTGGACAATAATCATGCGTCAAGGCTCAAATGCTGTTTTTACCCTTCTGTGGCTTTGGGGAACTGGTGGCATGTTTTTCGACGACATGGCCAGCGGTGGTATGTGGCTGCTGGATCCCATACCCATCAGTCTCATTCGTGGCCTGGGGCTCAGCAAGGACGACAGAAGGCTCTGGTGCTGGTAATCTGAGCTACGTTCAGAGATGATGCGTCGGATGAGGATGGACAGTGAAAGAGATGGGGGCCTTGACGTGCCACGGTCTATTCATCGACAAAAGTCAGTATAATAATCGCTGGAGCTGGACAGAAAGGACACGAATTCATTCCCTGGTATCGGCAGAACTGGTGGCATCCTGCTGTGTTGTGTTGGCGCGACTCGCAGAATTCACTTAGCAAACTGCGCAACAGCCCTGGAACACATTCTCGCTCTTCGACCGACCGGCCACTGCGACTCGCACCTCCATCCTTGTCATCATGTCCGTCATCGTCCCTGGCGCCGGGGCGAACATCTCCCAACTCAGAGGCGAAGCCAACTGTAAAGAACGGGCTTAAGCATTCAAGATAGCTTGTCAGTATCGGGGCATCTGGGTACTCTTCGTCGGCAAGAAGAGGAAGGAACCTAGTAAAAAAGACACCGCGTACAGAGTCTCCAATGCAAGGTCCGACAACGAAGCAACCTTTTGGGAGTGTCAATATGTCAAAGAATGTGAAGAACACCGCATCTATAGGCAAAAGAATGACTACGCCTTGGCATTCCTTGCCGAAAGCCTTCATCCGACCATCCGAGGCGAGCTCCTGGAACCTAGCAATGAGGGATTCAGCCTGCCTGCAACAGTCTGGTTGTAGCCGGAGGGAAAGCATTAGATACTGGAACCAACCCCCTTGGAAATCGAGCAAAAGAGCATGGAAAGTCTTGATCCGAAGGACTGCGCATGCCTGATCGACTTTCTGAAGAAATTCAACGGCATCCGAAACAAGATAGTCGCGGCAGAGGAGAATGCACAGAGTCCGAGTCCAAGTTGAAGATCATTTCAAGTCTCAAAAAACCAGAACACATCACGTATCTCAACAACGAACTCACGCTCCGAGATATCGATGGAATGACGCTCAAGGATTTCTTGAATCTACTGGTGTCATATGAAATGAGGCTGGGGTCTGGGCAGGAAAATTCACGGCCGGTCCCATTTCCGGTGGATAATTAAACGAGGGTTGGCTTTGTCACTGGGGAGAAAGCCAGAGTGATTTGGACAGCAGGCAGGACGAGTCCAGAAACCAGAGGCCCAAAAACCCAATACCATCCGAACTCAACCGAAAACAGGGACGGGTCAGGGGAGCTGAAACCAGGGAGTACAAGAGTCAAACCAAACGGAGCGGGCAACCCAGATTCCTGGAAGCCAAATGCAGGATGCAGCGGCGAGGCGAGCGCAGAGCTGGTCACATTATAGCCCAGGAGTTGGACACTCCGTACGGAGCTGGTCGACTCTTCAGACTGTTCAGGCTCCTCGTGGGAGCATGTGCTACACATGGAATGGGTAGGACACCACTGCAATGAAACCCTTGGTTCAGAAAACAAAAACACCAATGTTCGCTTCCCCTTTCTCATCCCACTCCGCCTTCTCAGCCTGGAGCGGGCATATGAGTTGACATCAAAATATCAAAGCCTCAAAGCAGATCAGCCGGGCAAAGAGCAAGCGAGTGTATGGTCTTCACCATGGTCTCCGGATGGTGTTTGCTATGGTCTATGGTCTATGGTCTAGCTTGCGCCCTAATCTAATATCCTATCGCTATGCATCTTTCCCTTGTTTGCTTGCTTGCTTGCTTTCGCCTATCGGGAAACAAAAGTCTCGTGGCAGTTAGAAAGGTGCTGTATGAATGCCGCTTAGTATTACATCACGACCTCCAACCCCTGTCCGCAAGCTCTGATCCGCTGGTGCAGAGCTCTGCATGGACGTTCTGGTAGACACGCCTCCGCAATCTCGCCATGCGTGAAAAGTACAACTAGTCAAAACACAATCATTCAAGGAAGAATCTTGAGAGGGGTGGTACGAGAGATATCGCTCGACCTCTTTACCCGGCAATCTCCAACAAAAATTCAGTCACAAGGGAGGCGATCTTCGCTCTCGTTCAACAAGGATTCAGGACTCGTCGATAGTCGGCTTAAACTGAATCCTATCCTCCGCCTTTGATTGGAAGGGCACGCCCAATTCGAACAACTTGCACAGCACATTCGAGAAGTCCTTGAAAAACAAATCGCCGTCCTTGGCATATTTCTCTACCCACTTCTTAAAGGTCGGATCTTTGATCAAGGCCACGTCGGTAGGTAACATCATCAGACTCTTCGTCGCGGCGTCTTCGTATTGCTTGGGCCCCTTCCAAGATCGCCAACCCCATTTCTCTTCCATAAGCAGGCGGTAGTAATCGTTTGTGAAGACGGTCGGGGAGAAGGTCCACGGTCCATCAAACCCAGATCGGTCTGCGTGGCACCGGCCTAAAGCGTGAGCACCACACAATGCCACCATTTCTTGATCGTTGAAGCCCATGCGGCCGAAGATGGCACGGATGTGGTCTTGGCCTTTGGAGGCATCGGGCAAGCGGCCGTCCGGGGTGCAGAAGGCGACGTCCCTGTCTTGTCGGCCAGGTCGCCATGGAATGATAGGCCCAGACATTTCTTGGACGGCACAGACGCCAGCGAGGGTCCACAGGTCAGAATACGAAATCCAGGGGAACTGTGCCTTGATTGGCTCGAGGAAGTCGCGGGCGTTCTTCAAGCCGGCATTGGCGCCATGCTCGGACTCGGGAGCAAAGCGCATGGTTGCACCGTTGCTTCCTCCAGTGCCCGTGGCGGCGTCATAGGTTCCCGACGCATGCCACGCGAGGCGTAAGAGAACGGGACCATAGCTGCCATCATCGTAGTCATCTCTCTCCCACAGCTGCTTCGCAATGGCGTTGTACACTTTCTGGTAATCCGCGGCAGTAGGCTTGAAGACGCCGGCAGATTGTCCTGCGCTGCCCACGGGGACACTCCCGGCCTTCTTCTCTTGCCCTGCAGTGTTTTGAGTGCTGAAATAATAGTAGCCTCCTGCGAGGGCGGCGAGGGCGGCGACGCTGCCATAGATGGCGGTGGCGTTTGAAGATTTGGGAGGAGTTGACTCAGAGGAGTAGTGGCGGCGGGAGGATTGTTGGAAGAACTGTTTAGCGGCGGCATTGGATCTTGAGGAGCGAGCGACGAGGCGGAGGGACGAGGTGGCCGAAGCTGTGCTTCGTGCAACGGCCTTGGAGAATGTGCGGGTTGCAGTTGCGGTTGCCATTTTGGAGATCAAAAGTCGTTCACCGATCTAGGAGTGTCTCTCGCAGGGGGATTTTCGAGGCAGAAGCAGAAAGAGATGAGGACGAGACAGCAAATGGAGCCAGTTATAGAACTCAGCACCACAGCCAGAACTTTCCCGAAAAAGGCTATGGACGGCGAGACCTGCTGGTAAATTGGTGGGAGCTGGCGAGGCTGAATAATGGGCCATCAGCGACTGGAGGCGAATTTGCTGCTGGCGAGGGAAACCAAAGTCAAACGACCCACATCAAAGGAGTGACTGAGGCTGAGGGCGCGAGGGAGAGTGGGAACGAAAACGCACGAGTGGCGGAACGGGCGAATGGCACGTCTGAAGGGGAAGGGAAGGGGAAAAAATGGATAAAAATCATGAGATTTTCTTTATCAAAGGGCGTGCGGGAACTGACGTTGACGTTATCAGCATGGATGGCGCTAGTAGCGTTGAGCACCGTTTAGCGAGGGTCTAATGCTCTTAATCGCCGTCTACCAGCATCTCCAGCCAATAGAAGGCAGTCCGTGGCATCACGCCCGGTAAGCCTCGTCCGGGCTTGGCAGGGGAGGCTCGATGCTAGCCAATGCAGTGGCACCAGTCGCCGGCCGAGTGGCTCCGACAATTTTTCCCCTTCAAAGGATCCAGCGCAGTGGGTGCGCTGAGCACGTCTTTCTCCGTCAGATTTCGCAACGGCCAAAGCCGGGTTGGTTGGATCGCCGACCATATCGCATTGGTGTGCTGTCTCGCTGCCATTCTCCTGATTGGGAATGGCCGAAGTTCCACACGGAGGGAATCTCCTTCTTGGGTAATTTCAGCGAACAATACCCGTTCCTGCCCTCGCGATCACGTGCCGACGAAGTGTTGAGACCTCCTCAGTTCGATGGTAGTCGGTATCTCGGCAGCCTGTGATAGAAGCATCTATGACCTGCGCGGGGCCAGACATCAGATAGCCGGCGCTTTCGCCGGGGGGAAACACAAAATCTGGCGCACGAGGTCGCCGCGATGTTGGCAAATGGCCTACCAGAACACTCATGCATACGACTGCACCATGACTCTGGGGAAGAGTTCATCAAGCACCTCTGCCGCCAGCCTCATCTGCAAAACGACGCTGCTCTTGGATTTTGGTCGTTTCCTGATGTTCGTGGATATTTTCCTTGCTCTTTCCGCCAACGCGTCCTTCTGACTCTGGAGCTTCTTGTCCACCTGCATAATCTGCTGCAAGACTTCGTCCTCACCTGGGAGGTCCATCATGCCCTGGCCCCAGCCAACAGGCGAGTCACGATGGCTCGCCGCCCAATGGTTCTTCAGGGCATACATGGTCTTCTTTTGCTTCGATTTTTGGACGGTGCGGGACCCATGGTCTTCGCTGGCGCAAATTCCACATCCAAATTTCAGTTCGATTGCTGGGTTGACGGTGCTCAGCTGGTCTAAAGATTCTAGGAAAGCTGATAGTGGCGGCTCCGTTGGATGCTTCTTCGCATAGAGGTCGAGAGCGTACTTGAGGGCGATCTTCATCTGACAGCGGCCGTCCAGCTGGACTCCGTTCAGTGTCTTCGCCGCGTGTATGAAGTTCAGCGCGAACTCGTCGTCTGCAAATTTTTCCTGCAGAGGGCGTCGCCCCTGAAAGGCCGACACTCTCAAGGGCCCCGACAACGTGATAAACTCGGTTTTGACATCCGGCTGCCAAGCGCCCAATTGTGACACATCTTGATGACGAGGCACGAGAGGCAGGTTCCTGGGCCAGAGAACCGTGTACCAGGGAAATTTGAACACAGCTCCGCCATCCTCTGCCAGCAATCCCCGTAAGTCCCTCGAAGGGTAAGGTATGGCAAATTGATAGTATTCAAGACCTTCACCCACGAGCCTGGCAT